ATAGAAAGTCACAATTTATTTAACACTAGTTAACAAAAACAATAACGATAAAAAAACTATTTACAAACGATTTATAACTATTTATCTAGAAAGAATTTATTTTGAATTTTAGCGCGTCAACTGTACTCGTCTATTTATTTCGGTCCTCCTCAGGCCCCAGCCGTCGGATTTTATACCCACAGCTAAAGAGTTTCTCGAATAATCCATAGATCATTAGGAGCATAGAGAAGGTTTCGAATGTTCTCGTATGTACTACTCCATTCCAGTGGAACTCGATTTTTCTCGAACGTTCGAATGAATCATTACGGTGTCTATTCTTTAATGCGATGTTAAGGTCATCTGAGGGCGGGACATATAGTTAGGTTAGGTCGAGTCCACACGGGTCCGCAACACTACTTATTAGACTGCAAGACTAAGACCAAGAGTGTCTTGGTTTTGGTCTTGCGTTTGCTCATCACTATTTTCAAACATGTCTAATTTTTTAGTATTCTACTAAACAATTAGGCGTTTTTTTCTAATAAAATATTCTATAATTAAGACTACCTATATGTTTCTAACAAACATTTAGCGAACATTACTGTTAACGTTGAAAATAACACTATTTAATGATATATTGGAAAGCAAACATGTTTGTATTTATAATCCTAAATCCTATAGGTTCTTTTATTACAATTTTTCTTATCTAATAACTTGAAATGTCTTTGTATGTTTATGCTTTTCCTGGATCTTAGACATAGTAAGTATTTTACATAGCCCACTAATAATATTCAACAAACATTGAAGGAAAGATACCTAGTCAATTTCCTTTTTTTACATTTGCCATTAAATGCCATTTTTATATTTTAAATTTCACATTTTAACAATTTCAAAAAAAAGGACATAAAATTAAAATTATGTATGTTTAATTAACAAAAATTACTACTTTTTCATAATAACTTAATGGATGTGGAATTACCATAAAATTATGTCTTTTTACTGCAGAAATTAATTATTTGCTTCATTATATTTTATTTTTTAGCATTTGCTGCCAGAAATTATATTTTCTTCTCATTCGTTTTTACTATCTTCTAAATATGTTTCGTTGTCATTAAATTATAAAAAATACTCAGAAAAGATTTTCTTCTTCAAACATTCTGTTAGCAACTACAAAAAGTTCTTTTTTTCTTTAAAGATTTAATGATTTTTCTGTAAAATAATGTATCTATTGAGAAGTTAATTTTTTCTTTCTATTTTACTTTGTCTTTTTGTATGAAAAAACTTTAAGGCATTTGTAGATTCTATATTATTTAATAAAAATTTAAATTAAGAATTTTTAACTCTAATGGTCTTTTTTAATTTAAATCAATATATTAACAAAATAAGTTAGAGTTTTTGCCAGTTGCTTTTAAAATGTAGAAACCACTGCCAACATATATAGTTATTTATAACAAAATTAATAAAAAAATTTAGTAGTCTTTAAGTAATCGTCCTTATTTTTCTTTCAAATGGTAGTCAAAATTTATTGCTGAAAATATAAATAGAATTATATAAATATACAATGTCGTAGCTCTAATAACTTGAGTTCATTACCAGTAAAACAAAGAAAAAGACAATTTTTATGCTAAGAATTAAACAATATACAGGGTGGTCTGAACTGTATTCCGGAAACTTTGGCAGCATATTCTGCAGATAAAAATAAGTAAAAAGTTCGTATGAATGTATGTCCTAAAATGCTTAGTTTTCGAGATACAGGGCGTAAAAAGTTCTATTTTTATTTGGATTTTCAAAATAATTTATGAAAGTAACGTCAATATTTGGATGAAAATTGATTCTGGGAGTTTTTGACATGACCAATTTGATTTTGATATCAATATAACTCCTATTTGTAGAGGGCGCTACTTACATACTTTTTAACTGGTTTGAAGAGTCATAAATTTTCGTCCGTACCCGTGTAAAACTACTGAGTAAAAATATACATTTACGACGTTTTTTACGTAAAAAAAGTCTCTTGGTAAAAATCGCTACGAGTAATGATTCTCGAGATATTTGGAATCGAAATTATCAATACCTGTCATCATTGACATAAATTAAATATGTTGACTAAATAGTTATTAGACTGAAATCATAAATTTGAAATGTTTTTGTGCGAAATGATTAATTTAAAAAAAAATAAAAATTTCCCAAATTTATTATTTTAGTCAAATAACTATCTACTCAACGTGTTTATGTTTTCTCAATAATGACATGTATTGACTATTTCCATTCTAAATATCTTGAGAACGGTTGCTCGTAGCGATTTTTACCAAGAGATATTTTGCACGGGAATGTATATTTTTTTACTCAGTTAAAAGAAAAGTTATTACTCTTCAAAACAGTTAAAACACATGTAGGTGGCGCCCCCTGCAAATAGGAGTCATATTGACAACAAAATCCAAATTTCTTATGTCAAAAAATTCCCATACGCCAATTTTCATCCAAATATTGACGTTACTTCAGAAATTATTTGGAAAAAATCGAAACCAAAATTAAACTTCTAACCCTGTATCTCCGAAACTAAGCATTTTAGAACATACATTTATACGAACTTTTTTACTTATTTTTATCTGCAGAATATGCTGCCAAAGTTTCCGGAATACAGTTCGGGTTACCCTGTATTTAAGATTATTTTTATTCGCCATTCATTAAAAAGGGTTAAAAATTCTGGAAATAAACTAAATAATATATACTACGCATCATATATTAAACACAATAAGAGATAAAAAAAATAACAAAATTGCTTTTGTTGAATTTTGAAAAAAAAACATTGATTTTTGACACTTCCATAACTTTAGTAAGATATTTAGACAACCATATAAATAATGTACCTAAATTATTCAAATATGTTTATAGACTTAATGAAGAATATGCCAATGTACGATTGGAAGACTTGAAGGTACTCACGACTCTCGGTGTCGGAGGCTTTGGAAGAGTCGAACTAGTCCAAATCTTTGGACAAAACTCCAAATCTTACGCTCTGAAACAGATGAAGAAGTCGCAAATTGTCGAAACTCGCCAACAACAACACATCATGTCGGAAAAAGAGATCATGGGCGAGGCTAACTGTGATTTTATCGTTAAACTATTTAAAACTTTCAAGGTAAACATTATATTTTAGTTCAAACATTACCAGACAAAATATTTGATAAACTATATTTAGTATGTCAACAAAATTGATATGTTTATATAATTTATAATATTTTTCTATTGACAATTAATTATATGAAATTGAAATCTATTAGGTCTTCTATATGTATTTTTAAAATAGTGTTTGAAGGTGATTTTATTTTGAAGATATTGAATTTTTGTAGAGAAATTTATATTTATTTTAGTTTTTATGTTTTCTGTAATTTAAAAAATCTGTTTAAGAGAAAATCTTGAAGTGCTCATAAAAATAATTTTACTTTCTTATAGAATTCTATTATAAAAATGATTTAATAATTAATAATAATTGATAATATTATGCTAACATGGCTAAGAAAACGTCTGTTTGGTGTGATAAAAAATAGTGAAAGTTTGTACCTACAAGAACCACATTTTTTAAAATTAGAATTATGGTAATTTAAAATATTAAAGAGCTTTATGACAGTTTTCTATATTAATAATTAAATTAAATTAATGTATTATAATGACAAGAATATCATGAAAACAAAATCTGAAAATGTTGTATTGGTTTGGTTTTAAAAATCATAATTTCTTAATAATATGGCAACATAAGTGGTGGACCAAACTTAGAAAAGAATAAAAAAAAAGTTCTTTGGTTCTCAACTTAAGAAAAACAACTCAGTTATTCTGGACTTACGTGAAAAACGGTAAATGTCTTTCTTCTGTCAAGATCTACCAGCCCTGTGAAAACATATTCACGTATTAAAGACTCACCCTGTATATGTCTACCTTACAAAGCATCATTTTCTGTTGTAGGATGCCAAGTACCTATATATGCTCATGGAAAGTTGTCTTGGAGGTGAACTTTGGACAGTGCTAAGGGATAAAGGGCACTTTGACGATACCACCACCCGTTTTTACACAGCGTGCGTGGTAGAAGCTTTCCACTACTTGCACTCAAGAAACATTATATACAGAGATTTGAAGCCTGAAAATTTATTATTAGACGCTCAAGGGTAAGAATATTATTTTGAAAATTTTATAGATTTTTTACAACTACTATAGGCTTAATGCATTCTCCGCCAGTGCTACCACCATCGGGGAATATCGTAAACGACTTGTGTATAGAAATACACGGGTTTAATGGCGAGTATACGAAAAATGTATTATATAATTATTCTAAAAGTGAAGTTTTATTTCTGAAAAAAAAAATAAAAAAGTAAATTTTTGATATCTTCAGGAGGTCTAGCTTGTACTATAATTTATTGTTCCAGCTAAAAAAACTTTTTAGATGAGTACTACTAGTGGCGAGCATAGTCTTAATCACCGGTTAGTGGGGTGTGGGGTCATAATTGGGTCTATTTCGGCTATAACTAAATTTTTTAAAGGTACATAATTATAATTTTACAAAATGTTCATAAAACATTTAATCACTAGTTGATTAAAAAAAGTATACCATTAAGATTGCAAATTATATTTTATCCTCTCATAGTATATGCCCATTTAATTTTTTGAATATGTAGCAAGCACTTTGTTTACTCACTTGTTTCGTCGAACTGCTTGAATCCATTTTTGCTTTTGATCAAATCGGTGTGAGAAACTATGAAGCAATAAAATGTTTCGGGAGAGTTGAACATCCGGGAAAGTTGAGTTATTTAATGTTATGGCACCTAACAACGCCCTAATTACGTCTCCTTTACGCTTTAATATTTTTTTGGCAATTTTATTAACATTTGAAATTGTCAGACCCCAACACGACGCCTAGTTCGAATTCTTTTTCACTTATTTTTTACTACCCGAAACAGCGTTACATCACACAAATCTCGTACCTGAATATTTTATAGTCTCAATAACTGCACTAGCAAAAAACCAAAATACTTAAATATTATGGCAAAGCCTCGATTTCAATATTATTTTAATGCGATCAACCTAAACTGTAACCTAGACGGCGTGATATACATAGCGAAAATTTCTGATTACTGCTGTATACAGCGCCGCTGTCGGATTTTTTGGGATCAACTGGAATGCACCAAGCCTATAATCTTGAGAATGGCATCAGTGAGACATCACTACAAACTGAAATCTTATGTTTTATGTAATATAAATGACAATAAATTGAAGTGAGTTCAAAATAGAGACATATTCTCAGTATCTGTTTCAATAAATTTTATGAATTATTGTCATTATTATTTGTTTAGGTATGTAAAATTGGTGGATTTTGGATTTGCCAAGAAATTACAGGCCGGTAGAAAAACGTGGACTTTCTGCGGCACCCCCGAATACGTAGCTCCAGAAGTCATTCTGAACAAAGGACATGATATCAGTGCTGACTACTGGTC